ACTACGAAATCCAGTGCTACGAGGATTGGTGCCCTCGAAGGTAATACTACGAATAATAAATTAGATCGTGTGAGTATGATCAAGACTGAGCTGGACGAGACCTCGTCCCAAATCGGAGAGACCAGCGGTCACACGAACTGCCCTCACACCTGTTTGCCGGCGAAAGATCTCTCGACATTCGGGGTGAAAGAGGAAATGGCCTCTTCTGCCAACGCTATATCGATGCTCCGCGAAGAGTCTGAGGGACCGAAGATGGTGGCTCGCGGAAGTACGCGGCACGGCGCAGCCACAGCGCCGTACGCGTTGAGGTCCGCTGCTACGCGAGTTACTGGCACCATCTCGACCACCCCTCACGACGCACTCGCGGATCCGAGTAGCAACCAAGAGTTACCACGAAGTGGGTCACCCACAGATACTCGGGACGAGGTTCAACCTACGTACCAACTGGTAGGGTCCGGGGAATCCCATGAGTCCAACCACGGTTCACGATCTGGCCCCGGTAGTGGAATACTTCCGATGTCGGGTGTTTCGGAACGTGAGCTAGCCGTCGGTGACGACGCTACAGTTCATTCAGCTTTTTTACGAAGTGGTATCCAGCGGGAGCAATGCGCATCGCGTTCGGGTGCCATAGTAAGCGAAAACCCCTTAGCCGACTACGTCATAGGTGACGAAGCCGGCCTTTTTTATCAAAACAATACTTGTACGTCGCCCGTCCATTCTCATGATTTCCCCCGAACATACGATCATCGCCTAAGTGGTCCATATCAAGAAAGTCTAACCCGACACGACGCTCAACGCGGAGCTCGACCTTCTTCGTCGAGATCTCCCCCGCGAGCTCGTGTCCTAGACACCACGTCTGTAGGTCATATCCACCACAGATTCCAATCGTCAGAGAATATAGTGCGACCGGGCGTCGATAGCGACGATCCCCGTGAACTCCGTGCGTTCCTGCCGCGGAACCCGGTCAAGGGAACTGACATCCCAGATCACAGGTTGCGACATGGTTTCCAACGTGGAGCTCGATTAGAACTCCTGATGCCTCCACTGAGGACCCATGCCGACCAAGCACAACATTCCGATCATATTTCCCCGCACAATTCTCAACTATTAGGCACCAACGATCATATATCACGACATGGCGCCCAACGTGGAGCTCGATTCGAACTTCCGAAATCTCCACCTAGGGCCCATGCCGTCGGTACTGATACATATTCCACGACAGTGACATTATCACTGAATCACCCTGTGTATATATATTTGAATATTAAACAAATCAATAAAATAAAAAACAATTTACTCGTAATATAATAAATATTCGAATCACCCTTGAACGAATGAAATTGCTGTACACTAGTTGATTTATTTTATTTTTTATTGACTAATGAAAATAAGAGAGTTGTTTATTCTACATTGAAATAAATGTTTGAGTATGTTGTAAATGTAAAACCCATTTTTGATTTCAATTGTAAGGATAAAATAAATTTTCCAATTGTTATCACCCTTGTGTTAAAAGGTTAAAACTGTTTTTTTTTTAAATCAAATATAATAATTTTCTTTAGTAGAAAATACCAGTCTCCGAAAATATTAATAGTAGCAAAAAAGTCGTTGAATACTTGTGTTAATTTTTTTTCATTTTTACAATTTTTAATATTTTCCAAATTATTTTTAATGCGCCCTAGAAAACAAATAACATAGTAAATAAGTGTTGCAAAGGATTATCAGACCAAAAATAAGAAATAGAAATTCATATGCTATGTAGATCTGTTAAAAGCTTCTTTTTTGTGTCTGAGTCTTTTGAGAAAAGGTAACTTTTTTGTTTTATCCTTCTGAAAAATTTTATTGTCTTTCGCTGTTTCGAGTTTGGACGGTAAAATGATTTAAAGCATGCTTTCATTTTAATGTGGCTTGTTGTCTAACATTATATTTATTATGGTCATGAATAGAACCATTGGTTCATCTGCCAGGAAACATGTGAAACAAATGAGAATAACTAAAAAAGTTAATCAAACTATATTACCGTCTATCTTTAAAATTAAGCATTTCTGGAGCTATGTTCATATAATTTTATTTTCTCAAATTAAAATGGCTAATATTAAACTTAAAAAATGCAAGTAAAGTAATGTTTTATGCTATCAAAGTCCATCAATTATGCATTTAAATATAATTCACATTCAAGTATATAATTGAACTTTGATTTTTATCATAATTAGAAAATATTCCATTGTTGCCACATTTTTTTATTTCTGTAATACATAGTTACTTTGTGTTTTTTTTTAATACTTTAATCGACTTTAAACAAACTACTTGTCTGCGTAAAGCGTAAAGCGTAATAAGAACAAATAGATCATAGGTCACTTAAAGAAGATATTTTTTAAATATCAGTTCATTTTAATCGCAAAATGAATGTAAAAATGTATGACTTGTACAACGAAAAGCAACGTATGTATTATTAATTCAAAATCACACGTCCAATTAGTGCTCATAAACATCTTAAATTATTAAAAAATACATGGTTTCACACATCTTGTGCAGTAACTGCAGATATTACCTCATGGTTAGCTAATTGCATTTAAAATTTAGAAAGCAAAATTTTGATTAAATGATCGGTTTAGCCAAAAAAAAAAAACAAATTTCAAATGTCTACATGCAATTGTCATCCTTACCTACTAGTAAGTGCAGCAGTTTAAGAAATAATGCAGTAATGCAGACAATGCAAAACCTTGAATTCAATTTTTTACAATTTTATATTTTCAAAAAAATGTTTGGGGCAAAAAAATATACGTTTTAATCATTAGGCAATATTTTGTGTGTTGAATTCGTCATTTTTAATAATAATACATACATACTAGTTAAAACACTTCAAATTTCTCTATTTTCTTAGTTTAAAACTAATGTTACTTTTTTCTTTTTAATAAAGTTAACTTAAACTACTTAAAATTTTTTCTTGAGTTTTTTTCCTGGACACTTTTTCAGTTGATGGAACAAATATATGTAAACATCAAAATTTAACAACGTACAAATTAAATGTTAGCTATCCATATAGCCACTTATTTTCCATATTTCTGCATACTTCTAACGGAATATCGTAGACGCACTCAAAAAAGTTATGGGCGGATATTTTCATAATACATCAATTTTCTAGCAGTTGTTAGTTTAAAAAACCACTCTATATAACACCAAAATGTTATAATTAAAAATAAAAGACCACATCCCAGAAATAATCAAAATCGTCGATATAACTCGTCTAATACGGTTATTCAAAAAATTCAAAAACTTTTCAGGAACTTGGAACTTAACGGCCGCGAATTAACGAATTCGAATATAGGTGACGGACGGTACGGTACACCCTGTATTTTTCAACGATACTTCAAAATTATTAAAATCATCGTAAATATCCCAAATTAGGCAACACTGCAAAACAACGTACTGTCGCAGCGTAGTAGCTAGTAGCGCTTGAAGTGCTTGAAGCTCGAATTTGTGTTGAAACGCTCGTTTTGCGCACTTCGAATATCGAAGTTTATTCGATATTATTGGTATCAGTTATCAGATACGACAAAATATTTGATTATATGATTTGATCAAAGTTTAGTTTTATCAAGAGTAGAGTAAATTTATTTTATCTGTATTTCGTTTAGCTTTAACAATTTATTTTCCTCATATATTTGGTAAGTTAATATTTCCGTTTACTAAACAAAATTTGTTATAACCTTCAAAATCGGCAACTGGCATAATCAATGATTAAAAAGGTATAAACTTTATTAACGGGTAATAATTATTGCAGATGAAATACTTTACTTCTGATAAGCATAGAAAGTACCATAAATCTAGAAATAATAATTGGAATTTTTTTAAGCGACCAAAATATTATTTTATTGTTGTCTTTGAGAATCATCAAACATCAAAAAGATAAAGATTTGTTTAGCTGAATACACACGCAAAGACTTATTGGAGCGATAAATTGTACCAAATAATCGTCGGATAAATCGTTAAGAAAAACCTTTCAGACAAATTTCAGAGAGGACACTAATACGAAGTTTTATTGGATCGAATCATGGTACAAAGTTTATCTGACTGTTCAAAAGTCCAAAAAAAAAATCAAAGCAATTTTTTGTTACTCATAAGATAGTTTGCTACGAAAACATGAACAAAAATGACTTAAAACGCGTTTTATTACTTGGAATGATGGGTTATGTGATTATAAAACAATGCAGAAGAAATAAAAAGCAAACAAAGTGGGTGGAAACATGGTTATTGAGGAAACAATACAATACACCACTAATTCCTTATAACTCTCGTTTTTAATATTTTTATCTGTATATTTTTGTGAGGTTTTCCATAAACACGGTTGATTATGATATAAATCGATCAGTCCACTAATAAATTATTTTGTTGCCATATTTGAAATTGTAGTATGTTCTAAAATCAGTACAGAAATTAACCGACTTTACATATCGCTCCAACATATACTAACACGCAGATGATGCTCTACAAAATATCGCCCGATAATTCACGACAGATTTATCACCCGTTTAATCACTGTGTTAGTGTATGTGACAAAATAATCGCTCCAAATTATTTGGCAGCAATTTAACCCCTAAAATATTGGTATTTTTCAATCTTTCTTGATGACCCGAACTAGCAGTTTTGTCTTTACAATTTATTCAATTCAACGATAAATCGGTCGATAAAACTGCTAGTGTATATTCAGCTTTTAAGAAATTCAGCAGCTCGATGTAAATTATTTATTATTAAATTAAACCTGAAAAGGACCTGAATTAAATTTATTTGAAGTGAATACCTATTTATTGCTTTTGAGTTATTATTATTATCGATCAATAGTCATCTAATATTTCATGTTTAAGTAAAGCATTTGTTAGCATCCGGAATTCACAATTTGTAAATATTACACTACTTTATGAAGGAAATAAAAAAATAATGATAAATGATAATTAATTTTAGAAAAATTACTGTAATTACATTTTTTCTTTTTTTTTAATTAGGAGCTTACGTTGATTTAAAATCGGTAAGCATGCAACCATTGGCGAACAAATTGGCTACCCCAGAATTGAAGAGTGATGCCATCTTCGAATTTATTATCGATCAAGTCAAAGCAGATCCAAATAAAGCAAAATCTGTTGGTGGATTGTTCTTGTACAATATCACAAAAGACAAAAAACAGGCTAAACAGTGGAGTAAGTATTTAGTTCTATAATTTAAGTGAACAGTTGCCTGCAGAAAGAGATATTTTATAATATTAAGAACAAGGTTTTCTAAAGGTTTAGCTGACAATAAATCTTTTTACAGCAATGGACTTGAAAAATGCTAAGGTCTACGAGGGAACTCCAGAAGGTAAACCGAATACGACGTTGACCATTTCCGATGAGGATTTCATACTCCTTGCAGAAGGGAAATTGAATCCACAGACTGCCTTCATGAAGGGAAAACTTAAAATTACAGGCAATATCATGCTGGCTCAAAAACTAGCCCCTCTTCTTAGAGCTAATGCTAAATTGTAAACAGACTTTGTTACATTGATACACTCCATATTATTTTTAAGTATCAAATTTTTACTTTATGATAATGGTGTTTTGTTGAAATTTTTAGATTGTTGTTTTTTGTTTTATTTTTTTATTGATATAGGGGTATAGTATCTTTAATTATTGTAAGATATAAATATTTTTCAAATAAATGTGTTGTATGCCTTGAAGTCTGTACTTTTCATTTGTAACTGAGGAATAAAATTGCTAATCTGTAAACTTAGGGTAATTCAAAGATCTGGAAATGTGGGGAAATATTAGGGAAAATCTTAAATTTTCATGAAAGACTTTCAAATTCCAATTTTTATGTAATAGATGCCACTGGAATCACTTCTGCTACCACTAACTTTATGGCATCTATCTATACCACTAATGTCGTATGTTAGTTGACTACCATTCAGAATTATTTTATTTTTACTAATGTTCTCATTAAATTTTTATGAAACCTCATATATTTTGGTGGATTTTAAGGTTACATTTGAAGTTTTAATCTAGGACGCTTTGTTAAAAAGATACAGGGTGTTAAACTTAAAATATATTTTTAATTTTTTTTAAATAATTTAAAAACTATTAGGTAAGTGAAATAATTTGAAATGGAGCACATGTATTTATGTAAACACTTCAAAATCTGAGACCATTTCCTAAAATTTAGATGCTCCTCTGATGGAGATACAGGGTATTAGTGGAATATTTTTCTAAATAAAACGGTACGTCACTGATTTATGGTAACAATTATATTTTCGGTTTCGTCTTCCAATTTTCTAAAAATTATTACTCTCACGATAACAATTTTGACATTCTGAGCATTTAGAAGAAAGAATAAATAATGCTTTTCATCAGATTCAAGCAACAATAAATTTCAAACAAGTTACATTTTCGTTACTAAAAAGATCGCACCTGTGTTCGTGCAAATGGAAGTGAGTAGAGTGAGTATTTACTCAAATAAAATTATGACTAATGTTATTAATTTCTTTATTTTATTAAAAACGAATCCGAAAATATAATTGTTACCGCAAATCAGTGGCGTACCATTTTATTTAGAAAAATATGTCACTAATACCCTGTTTTTCCGCCTCAGGAGCATCTAAATTTTAGGAAAAGGCCGCAGATTTTGGACAATGTTTACATTACATATATGTGTCCAATTTCAAATTATTTCACTTACTAGTTTTTAAATTATTTAAAACAATTAAAAGTGTTTTTTTTAAGTTTAACACCCTGTATCTCTTTAACGAAGCATCCTAGATAAAAATTGTATACAAGTCCCCTTAAAATTCACCAAAGAATACGAAGTTTCATTTTTGGTTACTGTTTGTGAATCGCCCTTTATATAAACAGAAAAGCTTAAATAGAAATTAAAATTTAGAAAACGGTGATGATTAAAGAATGATTACTGATATTTTTGCAAATCGGATTATAAAATATATTTGGAAAGCCTGGAAATAGGGAATTTTTTGGTGAAAATTTAGTACAAACGCAAATATTAATTGTGTTCCAGCAGGCAGCTAGAAATGTTGGAAGTGTTTGGTTTGAAGTATGCACTCTTGCAATTCTCAATTGAAAAATTGTTATTGTTAACTACCAAATGTTATTCAACATTTCCAATAGCTTGCAGGAACAAACCTATTACAAAGTAATTTCACAAGTCAAGTTTTTTTTTTCTTTATCTTATATTAAGATAAATAATTATATATTAATTTAATTAATTAATTAATTAATTATATAATTATTGCTTGATAAGTATCAAGCAATACTTATTATAATTACCATTTCCTAAAATAATTTTTAACTAGATATGACATTAAAATTAATGAATAACTAGAAACATTTTTTTATCTTCATTTAACATCAGAACGTCCAATGAAAAAAAAATTATCTGATGGTAGTACTTTTTATTGACTAGCAATTTTAATGCCACATAATATTTACACTGAAGAGTTATAAATATGCAATATAGAACCTAATTTGTAGTCTAATTTGCATGCTTCCAATAACAGGAAAGTTGCTCTCTTGTTTAGTTTGAAAGTTTCTTCTGATGAAAGATATTATGCCCTTCAAAAAGTCATGAAGTCTAAACTTAACTTGCAAAGTAGAAACTAACCTTGAAATTGTACATTCACAGTTAACATGTAGATTGTTAACATGGCGAAAACGCCAACTTTTTCCAGTATGATCATATCTCTATGTCGATTGTGAATCTCCATGATTTGAAAGTTCTTTGTCTAGTTTTATCCTTCTAATTAGGCTCTGTCTCCACAGCTTCAACAGCTACTCCTTTACGTAATATCCAGTTTTCCTGTTCTGAAGAATAGACTCACTTTCGCACAATACACTGTACTCTCTTCCTTCTGGCAGAATCTATACAGTCATTTAATAGTTTCCTGAGTTTGATATATCCAATTAGATATTTTACTCTTGCCCTTATCGATCTGCGGTTTTCCTTCAGTAAATTTATTGTTATCGAGTTGTTTTGAAAAACTCTTTGCCTTGCCTTAGTGCAGAGGTTTCTTGCCTCTATTTATTCACCTTAACTTAACTGCAGTGAAAAACAGTGAAACATTTGGAAGCATTGGATTTGACCAGTCGACGGTCACTACAAGACATCTCGGAGGATTATTAACAACAGTGCTCGGACAACTGAGGAATGGTTTCGCCTGTAGCAGCTTTAAAACCAACAAAACCTGAAATAAATATGAGGGTAGGCCTAGGGGTACTAACAGCAGCTCTGCCCCCACAGAGCCTAATTCGAAAATAACAAGGACAAACTAATTCCTAGCTAAGACTATGGAAGTGAAAGGTAATTCTGTAACTGGTGCTGACCAGCTACATAGACCATACATAAATAGATGTTCCTCTTCAGTTTAAATTATTATTGTGTACCTTATACACAGGGTATTAACTAAGTGCCAACAATCTTTCAGGGGTGATTCTTTGAGTAATTTGCAACCAAAAAGTTTATATAAACATGGGTCCACAAATTGATTGTTCAAGATACAGGATGTTGAAATTAAAAAAAAAACACTTCTAAAATATCTTTGAACACGCTTGATATAAAAAGATGAGACTTAGGCTAATGGTTTATCTAATTAAAGGTAAAAATCCACAGAATTCTGATTTACATACATATGTGAACCAGTGGCAGAGATACCAGTAGTTACTTTTACTAAAGACCCCAAAAATTTGATGCCACTGAACATTTTGTCTGAATTTTGTCATTGAATTCGAAAAAGGCACCATTTTCAATTTATTACTTTTTTAAATTTGATTAACTATTTTTAAAATATTTGGCTCTAAAAGTTGGTGGTCAATATCCTGTAAGAGGAATAGATTATAATTATTTAACAAATAGGTTTAATGTGATTCTCTAGAGTTTAGAAGAAAACATGTTTCTTTAAAGTTTTTGTATAGACTGCTGCATAATGAGATCGATTGTCCTGAACTTTTAGGGCAAATTGGTTTTAATACGCCTAGGTATCATTCTAGGCAAGGCATTACTTTTCATATGTTTAGAGCGAGAACTAATATCCGTATGAAGTCGCCACTATACGTAATGAGTAAAAATTTTAATAGCATTCCGCACTTATGTGATATTAACAACTCTTCAATGAATGCAATTATTAAATTAATTCGTTAGGAAGTATATTTAGATAATTAGTAATGTAAGTATTTCCTGCTCAATATTTACTTTTTGTTTATATGAACATATAGAAATTGTAAATCGTGTTTGCACTATAATTGTGAATATTTAAGTTTTGCTCTGTAAATGGCGCTTATACACTGTTGGGCAAATAAAGCTATTATTATTAACATTACCAAGTACATCATTGAATATAACATCACTTTATTTGAACAGTAGTCTACTAGGTGAGACTCTATAGTGAATCTACTAAGTACCCTACTATTTTTTTCTCTAATATCATTTTAAATACAATGTCAGCAAAATGTCTTAAGAAATTAATTTTTTTTCCATGCCCATCTGCAATAAAAATACAATTTTTTTTCTAATATTACCATTTTAAATACAATGTCAGCAAAATGTCTGAGAAACATTTTTTTCCATGCCATACTGTAACAAAAATGCAAAATTTCAAGTCTCTGATTTTAATGGATTTTTTCATGATTTGTTGTAGTTAAAGATGTATTTCTAGCAAAAAAAAATCCCCTGCACTTTTTTAAAAATGAGTAGTTTGAGTTATTTGACATTTTGTGCAAGTATTTGGTAATATTAATGAAAATTTTAAAAATAAATCGAAAATCATTATTTTTTGGAATAAAATTAGACATCTTTTTTCTTAAAGACACCACAAGAAGCTACAGGTAATGAGTGAACTTTTAAAATATCGTTTTGTTGAATTTCTGAGGTCTTTAGTGAGAGCAACTCGTGGCGAAATGTGTGATGCTATCCATGTGTGGTCAATGGAACTACTTAGTAGAAAGTGTATCTACCAAGAAGTTATAACGTTTTGTATGAAGCAATTTTTTGAAAGTTATCATGAAAAAGTGTCAACTGTTACAAACAACATAAAGTTGTTCCATGGTTTGGAAGGTTTTGTGATGGTTGAGACAGCATGCACGATGATGAAAGGACAAAATGTCCCCGTACAAACCCAATGAACGAAAACATCCAAGCCATGTACTCTGCGCTGAAGTCTGACCGTCGCTCAATCGTACACGATCTGTAAACATTCTGATGATTAATCGACGATCAGACGTCAGCGTAAAAGGCAAAGTTTCGATGTTTTCGTTTGTTCAGCTTGTGCGGAGAAGCCCTATCCTCTCGTGGTCATGAATTTTGTATTGGCCATCACAAAACCATCCAAACCACAGGAACACAGTCAGACATGATAGACTTTCCTCACTGTACGCTGTTTATAACAGCTGTTTTACTGGCTTTAAAACAGAACTTGATTGCTGTATGCTGTTTAATGTACGTTTCCATGACAACTATTAAACACTAGTTTCATGCAAAACTTTGTAATTTTATGGTAGATACACATACACTGATGACTTTGTTCGATTGCTCGGAAGGCTTCACATTAAATAGTTCCGTTGACCGCACATAGATAGCACCACGTACATTGCCACAACAAAATCATTCTTAACCCTTTCACTGCTCCAGACGTATATATTCGCTAAAAATTTATAGGGCTCAAACTGCTCCAGACGGATTAATTCGCATGAATAGTTAAATTGGATCAGGCTGCTCAAACCGTATATATTCGCAACCGTGCGCATAGTGACTCGGTTATTGCAATTGGTAAGGCGAATTTTTGCGGGCGAGCTTATACCGATTGTGACAAATATTTTTATGGAAAGAGGTACTGGGTAATAGTACCAAGATTGTTCATGTTTCTTTCAGTTTCTATTTAGTACATATACTGTATTTTATTCAAAATAAAATCGTAAAATTTATCGTAAATCGTAATTTAACACAACATAACATAAAACTATAAGTGGTCTAACTGCTCCAGACGTATATATTCGCACGCAATAAACAATTGCGCACGGCGCGGTAGCTACGTTCAGACGTATTGCGCAGCGAAAGGGTTAAAAGTTAATAGCCAAACTGTGTAATATTGGTTATAGTCTCATTGGACATTATCAACACTTGGCAGCCCTATAATTATATGAAATAAAAATAATAAAATCATTAGTTTTAAAAATATTTATTCTAACAGAAAATTTAAAAAAGTATTCTAAAATTTAAACTTAATCGAGGCGCAGTATTCTTAGGAATCATATAATTGCATTAACATATTTTGAACAATATTCAATCAATTAATATAACGAAACAATCCTATTCTTTAGCATCTCCAATTCCGTCTGGATTTATCGCAAACATAGCTTCTGATTCTGGTAAACAGGGCGAGTCATAGATTTTACACATGCGTGTTTCTCCTCTTCCTTTCCTTAAATACAGTCTTGTAGTGGAAGCATGTGCCATGATATTACCCCCGATGGGCTTCTTGGGGTCTGCATTAAACATTGCTGCACCGTCTACTTGAGCTACTACTTGGTTGGTGATAACCACTGCGACGCCAAACTAAAAAAATCAAATCATTGAGAAAATGTGAGTGTGATAAATTAGTTGTTTTTAATTCAGTACAAACATATTTTCCTTTTCTACTTGTGTTCTGCTATTGTTCCATCATAGAAAAATAAATTACAATATATTAAAAAAAAAACTTCAACATTGTTAGATCTTTAAGAAATTCAATAGTGCGTGAAGAATCATGTGCATAACCTTAATAAACAATTACAAGCCACGTGACCTGGTACTGTCAACTAAAAATCTCTAAATCCTTACATCATCAATATTAATGATTCATTTAGAATAACAATGACAAACCATTATGTCTACACTTGAGATAAGATTTCAAATTATGTGTAAAAATTAAAGTTAAAATAAGAAATTGTTGGAATTTTAGAAAATATCTTAAGACTACTTAGTAATGAATTATAATCAGCAGCTTAAAAACTAAATTATATTACGAGTATTATACCCACCTCATCGGCTAATCGTAATAACATCCTGAGAAATCTGGCTAAATGCATCTGCCTAGCAGACAGTTCAGCTCTCCCAGAGTAGTCTGTTCTGTAAAGAGCCATAGCGCTATCCACAATCAATAATGCATATCTAAAAACAATAATTTCAATGTACCTTAACACACTGCGGTATGCAGTATATGTCCTACATTTCACTTTCGCATTTGATAAGATAATTATTTTTTATTGTTGTCAGTGTTATTGATAGCTTTCAATTTCTTACAGAAAACGTTAATCTAATGTTTCATAAAAATATACAGCCTATTGGAGCCCTAGCGTTAATAGATTGTTGAATGTTGATTAAAAGTACGCCCGTATAAGGTTTATCTCATCAGTCTGATAAAATGTTGGAAAGTACTCGAAGTATGTGTACTAAAAATGTTTCGATTGAAAACTTTTCCACTGGAAAATTGTTATATAGTGTACACGGTAAATTATTACTGTGCATACTCTAAGGCCCGTATGCATAGTCGATCGCCAGCGACTCGCCAGAGATTCGCCGTTCGCCGGACAAGATTTTCAATGCACAGTCGTTTGCCAGCCAAGTCAAGCATGCGCATTAGTGAAACTTAGTAACCTATTTTTATTGTGTTTTTGAGATTGTTCCAATAATGGATCGTGATTTTAACATGTTGTATAACGCAAACAGAGATATTTCTGATTTAGATTCACTAACGGTGACCAAAAATGAAAACTAGTATTCTTTGGTGAATTTTAAGGGAAGTCTATCGTATAAAGTTTTTATTTAGGACGCTTCGTTTAAAAGATACAGGGTGTTAAACTTAATAAAAATATTTTAAATTTTTTTAAATAATTTAAAAAGTTGTAACTGAAATAATTTGAAATTGAGCACATGTATTTATGTAAACATTGTCCAAAATCGGAGGCTTTTTCCGAAAATTTAGATGCTCTAGTGCCGGAGATACAGGGTATCGGTGGCATATTTTTCTAAATTAAATAGTACGCCACTGCTTTATGATCATCAATCATGATATTCATCGAATTCATCTTTCAATTTTCTACTAATTACTACTCTTATGTTTTTCGAAAAAAAGTCTGATTTTCGAGTAAAACTTAAAAATCGAACTGAAAACACACTTCGATATTCGAATAAAATTCGGTTTAAAATTACATAATAGGCTGCAATAACAACTTTGAAATTCTGAGCAGTTCGAAAAAAGAATAAATATTGCTTTTCATCATATTCAAGCAACAATAAATTTCGAACAAATTACATTTTCGTTACTAAAAAGATGTGTTTCCACGCATGTGTTTGTGGAAATGGAGGTATTTTTGAGCATTTACTCAAATAAAATCATTACAATCATGATTAATGTTATTAATTTCTTTATTCCATTAAATAACCGAATGATTAGTGTTTGCATGTTATTTAAGTAAAACTGTTTTCAGTTCGTTTTTTAAGTTTTACTCGAAAATCAGGCTCTTTTCGAAAAACATGAGAATGTAGTAATTTGTAGAAAATTGAAAGACGAATCCGAATATATCATGATTGTTATCATAAGTACTGGCATACTGGAGCATCTAAATTTTAGAGAAAGGCCTCAGATTTTGGATAATATTTATATAAATACATGTGCCCAATTTCAAATTATTTTAGTTACTAGTTTTTATATTATTTAAAAAACTTTAAAATATTATAACACCCTGTATCTTTTTAATGAAGTGTCCTAGATAAAAACGAAAGACTCCCCTTAAAATTCACCAAAGAATATTAGGTTTCATTTTTGGTCACCATTTGTGAGTCACGCTGTATATTGAAATTGTAATCGTTGTTGTAAATTGTAAAGTAAAACAGATTGTACTTTGAAATATTTTAAACAAGATGTATGTTGATGTACCTATTATAATTATTTGTAGACAATATGTGGAGTCTTAAGAGTATACAATCTGATCACTGTTAGTCATGTAATTGAAAAAACTACTCTAGTATACCCTAATAAAAAAATTACTTAAATATTTCATAAATATGGCTTTCCAATTCCTAGTGCACCCTAATAAATAAATTACTTGAGACATTTTATAATAACAATATAATAACAACAGCTTACTATACTAACAACTGCTATTAACGCCGAAAAGGAAAATTTTATTTAGTCTTTTACTACCGCTACAACCCTTTAGATAATATGCTTTGACAATAATTTATGTGATACAAACAACTATATACCAGAGATGCTCAAAGTAATACATTTCAAAGTACCATACCATACACAAACTCAGGTTAGAACAGTACGTATTCGGTGTAATATAGCATTGCGCATGCTTAAGCGCCTGTAGTTGAGACTATCACTCAACTGGCGATTCGCCAAAGTGGAGATCGCCGGGCGAACGTCTATGCAATAGAAACTACGCGCCGTTCTTTCACCAGCGACTCGCCAGAGATTCGCCAGGTATAACTTCGGCGAGTCGCTGGCGATCGACTGTGCATACGGGTGTAAGTAGTTTCTAGCATTTCTAATGATAACAAATATTTCAAATTGATATGGAACAGCCATTATAAAATAAGAAAAATTATATACCTACTGAAAATAAATCAACAACTCCATTAATATAAGCAAAAGTAAAATTAACAGATAGGGAACAAGCTGTAAGTACATAAAATAAAAACATTGGTGATTCTTTGGTTTATTTTAAAGTCAGAAATAAAAATTTTTTCAAAATACAGTACGTTAAAGTTTTAAAAAAATATATTTGCCTCTGCAAATATTTCTTAAGTGAAACAGTGGTGGGGAATACGAATGTTTGAAACATCCCTAATTTCTAGTAGCTTGCTGGAACAAACCTATATTGTAATAAAATATTCGCTTAGCGTTTTCTGTAGTTATAGCGTCCAAACCTACCATAACATCAAAAATGGCAAAAAACATGACAAAGTAACACTATTTACACTTTGCAAAAGTGATTGAAACTTGATTTCTCCAAATATAAAAGCAATGCGAGACATACACTATCCATATCGAAAGGAGTATGTTACGAAATCAGTGACCCAAGTTAAATCGAATTATGGTTGTCTGGTAGAGACGTCCTGTACTGCCAAGTAGGAAGTTATTAAAAAATAGTGGTCACATTGAACATGTTAAAAAAACAAAAGCTACTTGCTACACAGAAAAACCGTTAGTACAATGTGATTTTTTAAATTGCATAATATTAATATTATTTACCTGGATTCAGCCATCATAGCAGCAGCCTGAAGAAGTAATTGTGTCTGATGGTCTGTATTGTAAGCTCTTGCATAAGCTACATTGTCAAGAACATCCTGTCCATTCATTTGATAACGTTCTGCCACTGCTAGTAGTCTTTCTGGACGAAACGTACCTTCTGTGTCTATATATAAACATTTACCTTCTCCGCCTCCACTTTCAATAGGTAACTAAACAAATTTGATTATAATACTAATAAAATACTTGTAACATGCAAAAGTTACAAAATGTAGTAACTAAAGATCTTAACCAGTACCTGACATGTAACTGCCAGAGTGTGGCAGATTTGTGTCTTCCCAGTTCTAAATTCACCAAATATCTCTGTTATGGAGCCTGTTTCTATGCCACCACCTAAAAGTCTATTTAGTTCTTTCGATCCTGTAGTCAACTGTATAATCTCAGACCGTTTCTGATGAAATTCAGTAGCTGTTGTGAATCCCATAGGGACTAACTTAGCAGCTTCTGCTAGTATTTTATCAGCTTTTGCTTCTGAAATGCCCTTGAGAGTAATTAAATGCTTTTTGGGTGCAAAAGCTACTGATTCAATTGTGTGATATCCACCTTCTTCAAGCTTTTTAATATCTCCTGATGTAATGCCATTGCCCTGAAAAAAAAAGGGGTAATAAGACATATGTTAAAAATTACTTTTATCGTTACCTCTAATCTTGCAACAGGCTGTGGTCCACATTCTTCAGCTTCCTCTACTTCACTATGTGTAGAAGCTGCAGAAACAGCACTGACACTCATATTTAACTAAACAATTTATCCACAATTATACAATAACTTGTCTAAGATTCACTCAATTATTTACACCACAACAATGAAAACATAAAATAAAAATAAGGTTAAGTTGTTTTTATGACACTCATTGACACTCGA